TGTCTGTGTGTCTGTGTGTCTGTGTGTCTGTCTGTGTGTCTGTAGGTCTGTCTGTCTGTCTGTCTGTCTGTCTGTCTGTCTGTCTGCCTGCCTGTCTGTCTGCTACGGCTATGCATTCCGCCGTTTATTGGTTTAAAATGCCAAAAATTGCTACACCGATAGGTGATCGATCACCAATAGGGGTGCCTAATCACATTTATATAATATATATAGAGCAAAATATCATAGCAGCATAGAGAGCTAGAGCATATACACGTAACACATGTTTAGCGGCGGCCATTGATGCGCGCCGGGGTTGCCCCCCTCCCCCTCTCTCCGCGCGGGTGCCGTAGAGGTCACGCGGGCGTGGCGATGGCGCACAGTTGTTATGGGCGCGAATATTTTGGTCGCGAAAGCAACCCAGGCAATGCCGGGACCCCCACTAGTTAACCTAGATCACGCACATACCGTGTAAATATTTCGCCGTTATATGATTTTATTAAATGGTAGCGCATTTTGCTTGAATCTGATTGGCCCATATGGCATTTGGAGGTCCGTACCTCATGTAACCTGGATGATACAGGCGGTATGTTGCGCTTCACTACACTAACCGCCTGTACGCAAGCTCAACCCTGGCGAGATCAACTCACAGGTCGATAATTGTATAGTGTTATATGTTATATGTTATGTTATATTATGGTATGTTATGTTATATGTTATATATGTATATGTTATATGTATATGTTATATGTTATGTATATGTTACATATATAATGTGTAATAATGTACTTTATATTGTTATGCTTAATGGTTATGTTAAGTATTGTTATATTATTATATATATATTGTATGTTCATATATATATGTTAGGTTATACTTATTGTTATGTTATATATCAATATTTATAGTTACTGTTATAACTTAATAGGTTATATGTTTGCAACATTGCAATGCAAGCTTACATTGCATGTGTAGTACAACGTGGCGTGTTTGATGAGTTGCAACACAATGTAGTACAATGTATATAGCACGTTAGACATGTTGCGTAACCATGTAGTACGATCACTGATCTCTCTCTCTCTCTCTCTCTCTCTCTCTCTCTCTTCTCTCTCTCTCCTCTCTCCTCTCTCTCTCTGCTCTCTCTCTCCTCTCTCTCTCGCTCCTCTCCCTCTCTCTCTCTCCTCCTACCTATAATATAATACTATATATATAACTGGGTAACCTCTTATAGTGGCAATAGGTGAAGTCACCAGACGCCATATGACACCACTAGCGTCAGGCTGAGCCGAATTTTCACCTAACCCGTGACGTCACATCGAAGCCTATGTGTTATTAGATTAAAGAATAGTAGAACTCTAGATTTTACTTGCATACAACTGTACATTGACTGTAATAACAAATCGTCTATACCCACACGTATTTGGTACAGACTAACCTAATTTAATTGTTATATTAATTACACATCCAACGCTACGAATTGCGAGAGCAGAAATGGCCGGCGGCACAGGATTATTATTATGTGTTACAGTCAGGCATGTTACAGTGGGGGGGGGGTCCGGACCAGGATGGATTATACAGGCGGTATGTTGCGCTTCACTACAACTAACGCCTGTACGCAAGCTCAACCCTGGCGAGATCAACTCACAGGTCGATAATTGTATAGTGCTATATATGATTATAGTGTTATGTTATATTAGTTATGTTACTGGTTATATGTATTATATGTATATGTTACATATATGTATATGTTATATGTTATATGTTATGTTATATGTTATGTAATATTATGTTATATTATGTTATATATATATGTTATGTTATATATATATGTTAAATATGGTTATATATCATATGTTATATGTTATGTTATAGGGTT